AAAAAAAAAAAAAAAAAAAAAAAAAAAAAAAAACAAGTCAAACATTCATTTTACAACAGGGTTCCAGTGAAAACGGTTTGTGCTGTGTACTTGTCAAAGGTCAAGAGTATGTTGCTCGTGCAAAACTGTCCCAACCAGCTATACAGTATCATCGTGTGTTCAGAATTATTGCTACTAATCGCTTATATTTTAAAGCTTAGGGCAAGAAATGATAAAATCAGGATGTAGTGTTTACCATCTAAAACTGCCCCTTTACAATATCAGCCTTGGCTTTCTTTACTTTAATGACTTGACCGTTTGCTTTTTTTTTTTAAATCAGAACTTTTTTTTTTACCAGTTGACATATGAGACTTGAAGTCTTTTTGTATGGTTCTTTTGCAGTAGGTTCAAAGAAAAAAATGAAATCCTATTTTCTGCGCAAGAAACATCTAGTCTTTAGTTCTTTCAACATGAGAATGGAAGAAACAGGTGGTTCAGGTCAGGCGTTTGAAAAAAAAAGGCGAAAGAAAAACAAAGGAGTGGAAGCAAGAAAAAATTGATATTTTGTACAAATTTATTAACTTACACTTGGCAGCTTATGTGGAGGCCGCGTTTGTTAACGTACCCTTGGAAAAGTTGCAGTGGGTTTTGTGTTTGAGTTTTAACAGGAAATGCAGTTACAGATTTGCTCGAGTGCTACACTGAATTTTACAGCACACATAAACCAGTTCGGATATTGTCACTTCGTTGTTACAAATTGAGAGGTGGAACTGTAAACCGTTTCCATACTTGTACAATTTTCAAAGTTTGGAACTTTCATTTTTTCATTTTGTAGTTTTCAAGTGGGCAAATAGCCCAGAAAGGTTTACAGTATACTGTTACGTTGCTGAGGTTAAATTTGACTTGTTAGATACAGAAATACAAGTTATTGAATTGTAAGTTTGTGCTGTATGTCACATATCTGAAAGTGCGATTGTCGGAGAAATATCGTTCTTGAAACTATGTAAATACTATGCTGAAGATGCTTTGTTG